ACCACCACCACCACCACCAACCACCACCACCACCCCCGCCACCACCACCACCACCACCACCACCACCACCACCACAACAACAACACTAAGCAAGAACAGCCAGCTACAGCAACTACACGCGAGGTTTACCTGGACCTACTTCATAATTCTGATGCTTGCATACGCTCTACGCCTAACTCAAACCCCACAGCCCCTGGCCCTCAATGCGACACAAACCCTGAAGCCCTCTAAACCCCGAAAGAATCCATATCGCACCAATCTATGACCCTCAAAGGAGCCCTAGACCACAGCCCTAAACCCTAAACCCTAACCCTGAACCCTAAACCCTAAACCCTAAACCCTAAACCCTAAACTCAAGCCCATCGACCTGCCAGAGGTCGATAAGCCCCTTTGCGCCAATCCATGTGATCGCGATCCACGGCGGCAGCTTCTGATCAGGGCTTTCATAGGGTCTCGGGCTACAGGGTTTCAATGTATAGTGCAGGGTAGGGCTGGGGGCTCGTGCAGGGAATGAAGGATTGAACAGTTTGGGTGCTGAGGGTTTCGGGCTTGGGTCACTGGGATATAGCTCGGGGCAAGCTTCCTGAACCGAGAAAACCTAAACTCTGCAAACCCATGCTTCCTAAACTCTGCCAACCAGAAGCCTCGGTTCCTCGCTGGCAAGCCATTGGTGGGGAGTTTAGGGTATATAGGGCTTCTGTAAGGCTTCCATAAGGTATATAGACCTTCTATAAGGCCCCTAAACCCTAAACCCTAAACCCTAAACCCTAAACCCTAAACCCCTAAACCCTAAACCCTAAACCCTAAACCCTAAACCCTAAACCGTCGGGTTTAGGGCCTAGGGATGAGGGTTTAGGGTTGGGGGCTTTTTCGTGTTATCTGATTGCGATGCTCATAAATTGAGGGTGCAGTGATCCTAAATTCCATAATAAAATATACCCAAACCCTACGCTAATCATTACAGCCCCTAGTTTTGAGTTTCGGGCGTCAGACCCCATGTGCACCTTGTCATGCTCCAGATCGAGATCGAACATGTCCAGACCTGCGCAGGGGGTAGGGTCTAGGGTTTAGGACAACAGCAGAACTCAATTTCCTAGTCACACCAACCGTTTTCATACGGATGGCTTGATGCGGGTAACTCTAGCTGGGCTCTTTACGCCCTAAGCCGAAATTCCACGCGCACGTTTAGTATGCTAAGGAGTGTGAAAGGGTAGCCTACCAAAAAAGTTCGTAACTTCAGGACCACAGACAAAAGGGCGCCAGAAGCAAAAGCGTAAACTAAACTAAACCCCGACGCAGAAGCCAAAATCCAACAGTCCTGGACAGGTTTAAGGTTTTTCGGTTGAGCGTGCAGGAACTGAGGGCCCGGCCAATGCCAAAAGTTCCGTCATTGCCAGCACTTCTCGCCTGAACGCGGGAGAGCTGCCATGGAAAACCACGCGACTTTCCAAAATATCAGACCATTCTTGTAAAACTGGTGAGAAAAGACAAATACAGTAGTGCCAATGTCGTGCTGCTAGCAGTCCTTGTGATATGGCCATGATGCCGCAGACATACGAGGCACTGACGGCGTTTGTATCGCGTGGATGAAGAGAACAGTTGCGGCGGCTCCGCAAAAAATGCACATCATGCTAGACGAGTCAACGGTCATGCGAGCTATGGTAACAACAAGCGATGCAGACAGCCGAACACCATCTTCGTAACACCATACTATCATCATCGCGATGACGATGATGGTGCTGATCATGTTGCTGTTGATATTGGTTATTGTCGTTCACCATGATCGTCGTCATAATTACTTGGAGTTCAGCTGGGATGAAGTTGGCGCCAAGATGATACCACTGTCGAAGCAGTCTCCGAATCCGGAAAGCGCCACCATAAAGGCCCTCAGAACGTCTCAAACAAGGTTCAGAGCTTGCGTGAGTCTGACGGCACATGCTTCCATTCCTCTGCAATCAAACCCTAACCTCCAGGTACCTACTACATAGGGTCTTAGGGGCTCGAGTACCCTATATAATACGTACCTGGGGGGTTTGGGAACATCACGGCCCTCAGCCACTTTAGCGATTCTTGCTTTCGTGCTCACAGTCGGCATGACATGCAAAACGTAGACCCAACCATCCTTCCCTCATCACCAGCCTTTCTTCGAACAATAGCGTTCGTACAGGTTTTAGGGTTTAGGGTATAGGGTATACAGTAGTCTCCACGCCACAGCATCTGTCCATAAGCTGCTAGAAACACCCATGTAGAACCCTGATTAACAAATCTCTCTCCCATTATCCTTATCGTAGGCATCGTATCAAGACATAGCTTGTATGTGGCAATAGCCACGAAACCTTTTCATCATCCCTTACAGAGCCAATACGATTCCTGTATCACGCTTTGACATAGCTTGTATGTACCAATGGCCCCGAAACCTTGTCATCATCCCTTATGGAGCCAATACAATTCCTGTATCAAGCTCTGAAACTAAGTTTCCCTAAACCCTAAACCCTAAACCCTAGACCCTAAACCCTAAACCCTAAACTAGGAAGATTGAACAGGCAAGTCTACCTCGAACAACCTGGGGGATGATACCTTTCAATACTACGCGCATGAATGCCTTTGGGGTTTAGGTGAACGGTTCTCGGCTGTTGGGGTTTACGGTTGTAGGGTTTTGGGGTTAGGGACTTACCGGTTTAGGGTTGGGGGTCCGCAGAAAGAACATAAGTTGCACACACGCTGTAAGGCTGCAAGTGCACCGATATCTGACAAACGCGATAAACACATCAAGCACGTGACACTGGTCGTGGATCGTTCCACCCAGCTGCTCCTATCGCCATCAAACGAACGGCTCTAATCGTGTATAGGCCTTTGTAGGTCAAGGAAGTTCAACACGCACGTGGACTGCTGCGTGTTCGTGTTGCCCATGCAAGCCAACAGCAACTAAACCAAACCTTAAAACAACCTTAGAAGCCTGCACCTTAACTAAGCCCCGAACGCCGCGCCTTAAACCCTGAACCTGAAACCCTGAACTCCACCCTAAACCCTATAAACCCTAAGCCCTAAACCTTAAACCCTAAACCCTAAACCCTAAACCCTAAACCCTAAACCCTAAACCCTAAACCTTAAACCCTAAACCCTAAATCCGAGCCGTTGGCCGGAGTGTGCAGGCGTCGGCCGTGGCCCATCATTCCTTTCCCATGGCGGGCAGCGACAGGCCTGGGTTAAGAATTAGAATGGAGCTTCGGGGTATACGAAACTACCATGATATATTATGTTCATAATGGGAAGATGGGATTTCTTGAAGCTAGAGCTAGCGGGGGCCTTTTGTTGGGTCCCTCTATGAGGTTCAACACGAACTAGATAAACATAACCGTGTAGTCGAACAGAAAACAGAAGACGGAATGATGCAATAAGGGTTGAGGGTTTAAGGTTACGTATCCTGTCTTTTTGGGGTTTCTACTCGGGTGCCCATATCTTCTGGAACTCACCGCCCTAGAGACCAGGACAGTCGGCCGGGAGGTTCTTATGAAGATTCGAAGCATGCGTAGCAAGCATGAGCCACCTAGGGTTTAGTTGTTCTGGGTATTTGGCTCGAGCTTGGGGTCGTGTTCTTTTGGAATGTGCGGGTGTAGGTTTTCGTTTTCTACAAGTCGACGAAGGCCCGTAGTTCGTCCCATCACCGCTATCATGGTACTCATGGTGACAGTAGTCAGTAGTCGGAGTCGCAGTTCGTCATCGTGCACGAGTCGCCATGTTGGCAATAAAGCCGGCGGCAGTGGTAGCAGCAAGAATGGTGCACTAGCCGCGGCAGCAGCAGCAGGAGGAGGAGGAGGACGAGGAGGAGGAGTAGTAGTAGTAGTAGTGGTGTTGGTGGTGGTGGTGGTGGCAGCAGCAGCAGCAGGAGAAGTAGCAGTAGCAGGAGAAGTAGCAGTAGCAGTAGCCCTAGTACCAATAGCCATAGCAGTGGTGCTTCTAGTAGTTGTCGTCGTGGCAGTGGCGGTGAGTGAGTCGGATGCGGTGACGCGAATAGACTCGAATCGTGGGGTCAGGGGCAGCAACACATTACGAAAACCCGTGCTAACTTTATAAGCCCGCAGAATGCGTTACGGAACCCGAGACAAGCAGCAACCCCGATGCTGAGCAAAGCACGCCACGTCTTCTTGCCCCTCGAAGAGCAGAAACTGGGCCAGAGCTTCAACTTAATCTGGTTACTATCAGGGCATTGTATAAGGCTATCGCTAGGGTTCCTATGGCAATCAGCGCTACTATACCGGCATAGTATGAGTAGGATTTGACATTTGTATTTGTTCTCAGCTTTGGGGTACAGGCTAGGGGAGGTTAGGATGTACGGTTTGAGGCTCAAGAGCTTTAGTTTAGGCTTAAGGGGTTAGGGTTGGGGTTCAGGACTAGGGCTTAGGATGTGGTGATGTCGGGCCAAGGATCTCGAGTTTTGCAGGTTCTGCATTTACAGCCGAAGGGTTTTGATGTAGCCAAGTTCGGTGGTGTGGCCCTGGCCTCCTCAAACGAGGCGGGGCCCAAGACTGAATATAGGGACCTGAATGATAAGAATGGGGTTGTGGGAAATACTCGATCGACGATATAGTAAGGAACCCTTCAGGAAGAATGTTGGGAATCATTCCATTCCGACCCAATATTCCCGAACTGATACTCGTAAGGACCTCGTTTGCTCTATGCTAACTGCTAAAAGCACCCCTGCAATACTTCTTGCCCAGACTCCTGCGAGGATCGAACAAGTAGATCCCTTAAGGGGGCTCCAAAAAAGTACCCTTTACCAAACCCTAAACCCTAAACCCTAAACCCCAATACCCTGTGCCCTATACCCTAAACCCTAAACCCTCGGTCCCAACTCAGGGGATCGACGTTTAGGATCCTTCCGCGGGTCTGGGCACCTGCTCACTGCGTCCCCCCTAAAGAACCTACATTTTGAGGGATCCTTTGAAGAGGGTTTAGGGTTTAGGGCTTAGGGTTTAGGGTTTAGGGCTTAGGGTTTAGAGGCCTCCAGAAAGGTATATAAGTGTTTGGGGTCAAGGTAGGTTTCGGGTGAAGCTTTCCATCCACCCATCAGTCAAGCAATCAGTCTCTCAGTCAATCAGCCAACCAATCTATCAACCCAAAACTTCGACGCTAAACCCTAAAAACCCAACGCTGAGCCCTAAACCCTAAACCCTAAACCCTAAACCCTAAACCCTAAGCCCTAAACCCTGAGCATAGTCCTGATGCTTTGAGCAGGCAGAAGACCTCAGGGCTGACACGGACTGACGAATGTCCGACCGAGCCCTAAACCCTGAACTCCGAAAGCCCTAAATCCTAAATCCAAGATTAGGGTTGAGGGTTTAGGGTTTAGGGTTTAGGGATACTTCCTACAATCCTAAACCCTAAACCCTAAACCCTAAACCCAAAAATCCTAAACCCAAAACCGCTGCCTCCTCCAGAATGAGAAGACCCAAGCCCCAAAAGTTGAGGAGCACGGTGGTCCTGGGCTTCATGCAGGCTGCTTTGTGTTCAGGGTTTAGGGTTGAGGGTTCAAGCTTTAGGGCTGAGGGTTTAAAGGTTTAAGCGCTTAAGGCTTCAGGGTTTACGGTTCACGGCTTCTGAACAAATCTACTCAGGGTTTAGGGTTTACGGCTTCTGAAAAATCTACCACATGAAACTATAACCGGGGTTAGGGGTTTGAACCTTCAATGTGTTAGAGTTTTGGGGCGTCTTGGTTCGATAGCCTGCGATTGGGGCTTTACGGGATTACAAGTTGGCTTCGGGCTTCGGACTTGGTGGTTCTCTAGGGCTTTTGTGCTTCACCGGTTCAGAGTGAGTCTAAGCTTGCGTTAAACCCTAAATCCCTAAACCCTAACCCTATAAACCCTAAAACCCTAGATCCCTAAACCCTAAACCTATAAACCCTAAAACCCTAAATCTCTAAACCCTAAACCTAGAAACCCTAAAAACCCTAGATCCCTGAACCCTAAACCTATCAACCCTAAACCTTAAACTCTAAACCTATAAACCCTAAGTCCCTAAATTCCTAAACCCTAAGCCTTAGAAGGGCTATGATTAAATGCTGCGGATTGGGAATTATAAAGTGCAGGGTGTCATGCAGGGGCCTCAACAATTAGAATAGGGTTCCTTTAAGGGTTCTTTTAAAGGGGTTGCTAAAACGGGGTACTATAAGGGTTTAATGTCGGGGCCTTGATAATTAGAAGAGGCTTTTGGGGGCTTCTTATAATTTAATATACCTCCAAACCCTATTCTTATTATTAGATATTAGTAAGGACCCTATATTCGGGTACAGGATGCTTGCCTTCAAGAGCAGGTATTAACGATTGACATTTATATGATTCCAGGGTTTACGCTTGTTTGGGGAAGTAGACGGCTTTGACAACGCCAAGGCTACTGGTCGCGTGCTA